GGTCATTCCAAAAATGAGAAATTTAGCTCTTTTTATATCTCTTTTGTCTTTAAACATATACTTAATGTCTATGCATCATTAATATGTACTCTTAAAACTGTTTCAAAGATTTCACTCTTGTCCCCTAATATTAACCCTTTCAAAAGTTATTGCCCCTTCTGCGGAAAACCTTGTTATCACTACTCCTCCGAAACCGTAGACTGTAGAGACATTAAACCTTCACTAATGTCTTAAGGGTCTTTAGGCCTAACTTCACTGTATAAGTGCAAATGGATCTGATGACCCCTTATATGAGTTATTGCCCTTTAAGTTTTTTGTACTTACTATTAAACCTTATAACTTGAAAACTATAAATCATAGAAGCATGGGGACAACTGCATTGTGACCCTTGACCTTTGACCTTGAATATTTTTCAAGGTCAAAGGTCAAGGTCATTCATTTTTTTTTTTAATTTTCATTTTTTCTATGCTTTAAGGGAGTTTTGGTTTCTTTTTCTTGGAATTTAATTTTTAGTAGTCCGATATAAAACAAATTTAAAATTCAAAGAAGGTGGAAAGACCTCTTATTGTTCTGTGAACAATAAGTCTCCTAGTTTATACCATTTTTAAAAAAATGTTTACAAATACTTAACTAAGGTATTTCTAATGATCAGCAAATTTTTGAATTTCAGTTGTTGAGATACAAGACAGATTTAGAGCTCCAAACCTTTGTTATGTAAACAAGGCCCGAGCCATCTTTTTGTTTACATAGGTTAACCATGCTGATATATGTTCGTCAAAGCAGATTTTTTTTTCAATAAAGAAGTTAATTCTAAATACAATTAGACATTTTCTAATGATTTGCTGAATCTTGTTTTGTTATAAATATGATCTTTTCTAAATGCAAACAAAAACAAGGCACGAGCCTTGTTTACATTATGAAGAATTCTCAGTCCTGTATCTCCTTTGTAAATCAACAAATGATGTTTGAATTTTTGTGATCATTAGAATTGCCTTAGTTAGGAACTGTAAAAATTAAAATTGGTATAAAAAAATTCAGTTGAAACTGTGTCCATGCCCCTTTAAGTAATAAAGTATTCTTAGTTTAAGTTTTTGAATTTTATTGAAAATGATATAAATTCATTATGGCTTAGTATTATTTCGAATCATTCTTAATGGTCGCATTTCAATAATATTTTAAAATCTTACTTAAAAAGTACCTACTTAATGACCTGAAGTGACGTAATAAAAGCCTACAAGTTTAATATTCTTTTGTTTTCAATGTACCTGCTCCTTTACTTAAGTTCCTTGAAGTCATCGTGTATACGAATCCAGAGTCATATCTTGGAGGCATGTCCTTTTGTTGCCACATTTTCACTCGAACTTCGGCCTCGACAAAATCGATTTCATCAATAGTTTTATTTTGATGAGAAGTTGGGTAATACCAATCTTTCTTTTCACCTGTATGAAATAAATGTTAATTCTTTTTATTTTACACTGTCGTCTGTATCATCCCAAAAATGCCATTAAGTAGAAAAATTGCATGAACGAATTGTCTATAAAGATTCTTTGCAACTTATCAAGAAGAAAATTTGTTTTATCCCATTTAAACATTATCTGCTGTATCATTAATTAATACGAGTAAGCTGTTTGATAAGTTTCAACAGAACCGAGTCGCCCGTGTGGCGCAGTGGTCAGAGCGTCTGCTCTAGAGTCGCGAAGTCACAGGATGAAAGAAGGATATGGAAATAACGAACAGTATTCAATCTCAACGTCCATTAAACAATATACAAAATAAGAGCAGAGCAAACACGGACCTCCGAAACATCAGAGGTGGGGTCAGGTGCCATGGAGGAGTGAGCATCCCCTGCCGACCGGTCACACCCACCGTGTGATCGTTGTCATAATCAGGAAATAACGGGAAAAATCCGTCGTCAATTCAGTGTATAAATAATGGACTAACAATTGGTATGAAAAACGTCAGTCAGCATTTCATTCAATGAAATTACTTGTTTTTTTTTATTTTGTTTAGAATAATTATTTAGGACAGCTAGTCTAGTAAGTTAATGTAGTAAATAAGATAGCTGTAGTAAATTCCTTTCATTCATTCATTCATACCTGGTCATTCATTGTATTCTTGTTTGTCCGGTGTTCCGTGTCACGTGAGTATTTGGTTGTCACGTGATTGTCTTGTGGTCTATTATTATCCTGTGAGTGGAAGAACCAGTATGTTTGGGGTGTGGTAGTTATGTACGCATGTGTGAGTCCTGGTATATATACTTATGCACGGACTATTCCTTTTTAATCTTGACGATAATTTGGATGTTCTCCTGCGAGAAATCTATGTCAGCAGTAATCTAAGAAATTCCTTATGGAATCTTAGCGCCTTAATTGTTATCGAGACTGGTCACCTTCGTTCGTTCGTTTGTTCCTTTGTACTTCATTTATCATCAGTTTCACGTTCCATCGTAATTGTCAAGTAATAAATATGTGAACCTTCATTGAGGAATTGTGTTTAGTTATCATTCCCTGAGATGGGAGACCCGTGACAATGGCGCCCAACGCTGGTTTAACTTGGACAACTTAGGAACCAGGCTGAATACCAAGACGTCTTTGAACGACATTGAACTGTTGAACTTGAAAGTGGCCAGGCCATTGAATTCTATATGTACTACAAGTAAGCGATTTTCAGAGGAAAAAGTGCTTTGTGTGGTGAAAATTTGTGAAAATTTATCTTCAGTGTACATATATGAAACAGAGAAGATGTTAGGGATGTTAGACAATGAACAAAAGCATGATTGCAAAACTTACGTTTTACCTTTAGTCAACGCATACAATTCAACAAAGCATGAGACAACGGGATTCTCGCCGCATTTCCCAATGTTTGGGTGGAACCCTAGATTAGCAATCGATGCCTATCTTGGTTTGGAAGATTCACCACAAAAGACAAGAAGTCGGGAGAACTATGCTCAGAAGCTTAAGAAAAGATTTAATTACGCATACAAAATGGCAAGAGGTAACATCGGCAGAAACAATGAAAGGTATAAACAGAGTTTTGCCAGGCAGGTCCGTTTTGAAAAGTTAGAGGTTGGAGATAGAGTATTAGTAAGAACATTAGTATTTTCTGGGAGATCAAAATTAGCAGATAAATGGGAGAGAGATCCTTATTCGGTAATTGAACAGTCTTTCAAACATCCCTGTTTATAGAGTCAAAAATGAGGTTTCAGGTAAAATTCGAATATTGCATAGGAACCTTTTATTACCTTTTATGTGCATTACAAAATCTTCCAATTTAGATAACATTCAGATAACAGGGCCCCGGAGGCAGTACCAGAGCAGGAGGTAGCAGAATCAGAGACAGAGTCAGAATCATCAGATGATGAAATTTTGGTAAGGCAGAAAAGAGTTAAACCTAAGCAGGGTATTTCTAGTATTTCAGACAGGTCAAGGCCATCCACATTGATCTCACCATCAACTAGAGAGGCATCAACAAGGGAAAATACAAGGTTAATGCGCACGGAACCATCAACTAGAAAGGCATCAACTAGAGAAAATACAACGTTAACCCGCACGGAACCATCCATTCCAACTAATATGGTAACAGAGCCCCGCAGGTCAACCAGATCCAAGAAAGTTCCTGATAGGTATGGTTCGTGGGTATCTCCCATAGAGACACAAGTTTGATATGTATAATTGGGGAGAACGTCACAGGTAATTAGGATACAACTGTAGTTTTAGTGTGTATATAGATTTAATGTGTTGTTTTTATGTTCATCTTGGATAGAACTACCATGATTTAACTTAAGATTTCACTTAAGTGACTTAGTTAATTATCATGTATAGAGTATATTGTAGTTCATAATTTTATGATTAGTTATTAAGTCTTATTATTTCAAAATTACTTAGTTAGTGTTGGTAAGACTTACGTTAGTTGTAGATAAGTTATAGTAGAGTAAGTATTCTCTTTAAGAAATGTCAGGAGACATTTTATTAAAGAGGGGGAGAATGTCACAGGGTGACAATTACTTGTTTTTTTATTTTGTTTAGTATAATTATTTAGTACAGCTAGTCTAGTAAGTTAATGTAGTAAATAAGATAGCTGTAGTAAATTCCTTTCATTCAATCATTCATTCATACCTGGTCATTCATTGTATTCTTGTTTGTCCGGTGTTCCGTGTCACGTGAGTATTTGGTTGTCACGTGATTGTCTTGTGGTCTATTATTATCCTGTGAGTGGTAGAACCAGTATGTTTGGGGTGTGGTAGGTATGTACGCATTTGTGAGTCCTGGTAGATATACTTATGCACGGACTATTCCTTTTTAATCTTGACGATAATGTGGATGTTCTCCTGCGAGAAATCATTAGCAGTTTATCTAAGAAATTCCTTACGAAATCTTAGTGCCTTAATTGTTATCGAGACTGGTCACCTTTGTTCGTTCGTTTATACTTCATTTATCATCAGTTTCACGTTCCATCGTAATTGTCAAGTAATAAATATGTGAACCTTCATTGAGGAATTGTGTTTAGTTATCATTCCCTGAGATTGGAGACCCGTGACACCATTTAAACATTATATGCTGTATCATTAATTAATACGAGTAAGCTGTTTGATAAGTTTCAACAGAACCGAGTCGCCCGCGTGGCGCAGTGGTCAGAGCGTCTGCTCTAGAGTCGCGAAGTAAGGAGTCAATCCTTATGTCGTGGGTTCGAATCCCACTGTGGGACGCGGAGACCGGTCCTTTGGAGGAAACCGTATAAACCGAGGTCCCGTGTCGCTGTAGGTGTTGGCACGAAAAAGATCCCTCCCTGCCCACTGGCCCTGGGTGCCAAGCATAGGACAAAATTTGCAGCTCTCCACCGGCAAGTATTTTTTTTGGATCTGCCGTGCCTTAAATATTTGTAATAGACCCGGTATAAATAACTCTACAGCTTTTCGTTTTCCATAATAATACGTGGGCTCTGTACCTTTAGACAGTCAACAAAACAAGAGAAAGTCTTTGTATAAAAGAAACATGTAATAATTTATTGTATAAAAGTACATAAAACAAACGCGATCTTTGGAACCTCCAGGATACTTTGGGAAGGTGTAAAAATGGAAGGTGCACCACTCTGGAAGCGAAGGTGCAACGATATGGAAATGAAGGGGCGGTAGCAGACGTTGCTAATGTAAACAAATATATGTCAGGAGTATATAAGGGAAACTCTGGTAACTGGAGAAGGTGCACACTATTACAATTAAATAGTCACCTTCTGTAATTTGGATGGGTTATTAAATAACACCTTCTGGGCCATTCTAAGGCTCCGTAATCACAATCTATATCCGACAAATGTAAATCCCAAACTGGTACCTTCAACGGGCCTCTCTGTTTATAAACACAGAAGAGTTACGTCATTATCCAATCAGCGAGCGTCTAACAAACAAGGTAGCGCGTGCGAAACTTCAAGCCGAAGTAATCAAATACGGAGGGAAATCGAAGCACATTAGGGCTGTAAACATGGATTATGGATAAAATATCGCTTATGGTGGATGGTAAAACATGAAATAAACACAGGTAAGCACTACTGTGCGTAATGACACATATTTTATGCCACAAGGGTCGAGAACAACATCCCGAACGAATGTGAACAACACATTCAGTCCTTGTGAAACGGCATGTTTCTACTTTCGCTTTCAATCAAAGCTAATAGATTATCAATAAATTGGCATAAACACAAATAATCACTTGAAATATCGTATCTACACTCCGTAGTAATGTGTAAATATCCATGCTAAGGTAAAATAATAATCATAAGTAATAACTATGGTTGGCACAAGGTACAGGCCCACCTAAATTCATAACATTATCCCCCTTCTTTCAGAACATTTGTCCTCAAATGAAAACAAAGAAGAAGGCATGGATGGTTGGAGACATGGTGTTTATGGCAACAGTTGGTATGAATGGTAAAGCAAAGTATGATTATTTACAATGTATGAAAATGAAATGATAAAACGATACCATGTACTACAACATATAACAATAAAATAATTAACAATTAAATACAATATATACTTTCAACAAGTTAATAAAATTATCAACAACAATATATCATATTAACATCCTCATAATGTTAATGAAGATCAATAATGTTTACAATATCACATAATATCAATAGTTATTCCTCACTTATTCTCACTGAGCGCATCAATCTTCATTTGTAAAAGGTTCTCGAACTCCTGAAGACAAAAGAACTGGGCTTCCCTCTGGAGGCAAAACAGAAGGGAAGGATCAGATGGAAGACAGTTCAGTGGGAGCTCAGCTCCATGACGGAGATAATTCAGGATGAAAATAAATAGTTTTGGATCTCGGTCGATGAAGTAGGTGTAAATATTGTCAACGGCATAGGGTTTCAGTGGAGATGATGGGAGGATCATCCGAGCCAGCAGGGAGCTTGGGTCAGCCTGTAATGTAGGTGCACTCGTTTCGAACTTGGTTCCACCGACATTCAGATAAATTCTCTGTTTTTGTGATTGGGCCATACCCTGCAGACGAATCAGTTCTTTTGGCGTTGGAGAGTAGGCAGGGGCATCAGGACAATTTACACTATACTGTGTGGACGAGTCATCCGGGAAGAGGTCTAATTCAGCCGGATTTACATGCACGGACAAGGCTGCCGAAGACTTGGATGATGATGATGAGGAGGATGAAGATGAGGATGTTGATGAAGAGGATGATGTTGATGGAGATGCTGGAGTCACTGGTGTAGGATGGTATACAGGTTTCTTGATGTTGGAAGCCTCCGAAGTGGACGGAACTGGAGCAGATTTACTGGTGGCAGTTGTAGCAGATTTGGTGTTGGTAGCTGGAGCAGATTTACTGGTGGCAGTTGATGGAAGAGGCGCAGCCAGGGCAGATGGTAGTAGGGGCGCAGCCTTACTGGTGGCACTTGATGGAAGAGGTGCAGCCAGGGCAGATGGTAGTAGGGGCGCAGCCTTACTGGTGGCACTTGATGGAAGAGGTGCAGATGCTTGGGTGGACAGCTTCTGGATCTTAGCTGGTGATGGAAATGGCCCTGGAGATATTGGCTCTGTTAACGGCTGGTAGGTGTGACGATTCTGGTCTTTCTGCTTCAGAGGCTTTGTAGATGAGTTGGCTGATTTGTTTTTAATGTGAGACTTGATCCTATTTTCCTTCGAACGTCTGTTCTTTTCTTCAGGTGTGACTGTGATAACACGGGGTACCCGGTTTATGAGGGAGGAGAGGTTTTTTCTGAAGATGGTCAGGTCCTGTTCATCAGCCGCAGTGAATTGTCCAGTCTTGCGATTGACGGGGGAGAAGGTGGCTCCAGGACACTTAGACTTATGGTTTTCAGGCCGATTGTACACCTGCTTGCACTGGCTGCATTTGTATCCATAACCACTATGCTGCTCAACCAAATGGCGCTCACATTGAAAACGTTTTTCAAACTCAAAATCTGTACATATGCCGCACTGGTACATGCAGATATTCTGGAAATAAAAGGTATGAAAATCGTAAGTATAAAGGTCAATCTTGCTATACATTTCTATAAATGTATATCTTTATTTATTTAATCAAATGGTAATTTTGGAACAGGATTACTTTCAACAGAAATATTTTGGTGATGATTATAAACTTTTGTATCAAATATAGGTGAAATGGATGAATAATGGAAGGCAAAGGTAAAGGCAAAGAAATCCAGCTATGGTTTGAACCAGGTGGGAACACTATCTCCCAGGTAAGGTTTTAACCTGTCGTGGTGTACAACTTTGGGTTTTGAATGGGGGGACCTTTGAATTCTGAAAAGGATATCATTAATTTTATGGGTAATTGTGAAAGGACCAACCCAGGGTCTCTGGAGTTTTGGGCATCTCCCTTTTGTTCTAATAGGATTATATAACCAAACGGTATCCCCTATATTATAAATGTGGGCACTACTTTGGTTGTCATATCTCCTTTTCATGTTCTTAGATGAAAGGTTTAAATGCTGTCTGGCAAAGTCATGTATTTTGTCTAGTTTTTGTCTTAACTGTTCTATATGGTCAGAATGAAAAATTTGGTGGTCATTGGTCTCAGGTCTTCCTAAAATTAGGTCTATTGGTAAGGTTGGCTGGGTGGCAAAAACCATTTGATAAGGGGAAAAACCTGTTGACTCATGTTCTGATGAACGATAGGCCAACATGAGTAAATATATGTACTCATCCCAGTCGTTCTGATTTTCAGAAACAAATGATGACAACATGTTTTCTATGGTTCTATTGGCTCTTTCGACCATGCCATCAGATTGAGGCCGTAATGGGGTTGTACGGGTTTTGGTAATTCCTAATAGTTTACAAAGTTCTTGGAAGACCTCAGACTCAAAGTTCGAACCTTGGTCTGAGTGGATGGAAAGGGGTACACCAAATATGGATATTATTCTTTCAACTAGTTTGCTTGCTACAGTTGTAGCTTCCTGGTTTCTCAGTGGAATAGCTTCCAACCATTTTGAAAAATAATCTCCCACAACAAGTAAATATTTATTTCCTTGTTTGGTACGGGGTAAAGGTCCTAGAATATCAATGGCAATTCTCTCAAATGGAGCACCAACATTATATGTTTTTAAAGGGGCTTTGTATTTCTTCTGGGGATTCTTCTTAGAGGCACAACTATCACATTTGGAACACCAATTTTTAACATCACTTCTCAGATGAAACCAGAAATATCTGGCCTGAACTTTAGACAAGGTTTTCTTAATTCCCAAGTGTCCTCCTATGACACTATTATGTAAATGTTCCAGAACAAGGGCCTTTAACTCTTGGGGCACTACTAATTTTAGAATAACATCTTTTCCACTGTCCGACTCCCATTTATAATAAAGGACGTCGTTTTGAATAAGGAGGGATTCCCATCTTTGCCAATAATATTTGACAATGTCATTGTATGAGGCTACATCTTGCCAGTTTGGTTTTTGGGAATTCTTTTTCCATTCTAGTATAAGGCTCAAATTTGGGTCATTATTTTGAAATTCAACCAATTTTTCATGTGGAATTGGTACTGTTTGGTCAATGGTTTCTTGGGAACCAGGTTCTTTATTTAACTTTTTCTTTGCACGGGTAGTAACGTTGAGTACACTGTTTTGTACAGTAACATTGTGGGGTTCCTCTAGTTGAGATTCAGGGTCCATGGAAATAAAGTCGGTCTCTTTCCTTTCGGTTTGTTGGCAGTGTTTACACTTGGTGCTAAAGCATGGATGTCTGGAAAGGGAATCTGCATTTTGATGGGATCTACCAGCTCTGTGGACAATTTCAAAATCGTAGGATGACAAAATCTCTAGCCATCTGGCCATCTGACCTTCAGGGTTTTTAAAATTCAGCAGCCACCTTAAGGCTCCATGGTCAGTTCTTACAGTAAATTTCCTACCATATAGGTAATGGTGAAAATGTTTAATTGAAAGGACAATGGCAAGAAGTTCCCTTCTAGTCACACAATATTTCCTTTGGGGACCACTAAATGCTTTACTAAAGTAACAAACAACTTTTTCACATCCATTCTGTATTTGGGATAGCACTGCTCCCATACCATAATTACTAGCATCAGTGTCTAAGATGAAATGGTCATTCTGGGAAGGGTATGCTAGGATGGGTGCCTGGACAAGGGCAGCTTTTAAGATTTCAAAGGAATTCTGACAATCTTCAGACCAAATAAATTGCTTGTTCTTTTCAGTAAGGCGGTGTAAGGGTTTGGCTTTTTCAGCATAATGGTGGATGAAACGCCTGTAATAAGAAGTTAAACCTAGGAAACTTCTGACATCTTTTACAGATTTGGGGACTGGCCACTCTTGAACTGCCTTGACTTTGTCGGGGTCAGTAGACACACCATCTTTACTAACAATATGTCCAAGGAAAGACACTTTACTCTGAAATAAGCAACACTTTTTGGGACTTAATTTTAAATTGGCACATTTAAGTCTCTCAAAAACTTTTCTCAAGTTTTGTAATTGTCCTTGAAAATCTTTGGAAAATACAACAATATCATCTAGGTACACTAGGCACACTTTCCAGGAGAGGCCATTGAGAACTTTCTCCATGAGTCTTTCGAATGTGGCTGGCGCATTGCATAGGCCAAAGGCCATGACAGTAAACTGCCAAAGTCCTCCGCCTGGGAATGAAAATGCTGTTTTTGGGCGGTCTGCCTCAGAAATACCAACTTGCCAGTACCCGGACTTTAAATCAAGAGTACTGTAGAATTCGGCACCAGAAAGGGCATCTAGGGTATCATCAATTCTGGGCAAGGGGTGAGAATCTTTCTTAGTAATGTCGTTGAGTTGACGGAAGTCGACACAAAATCTTAAGGTGTTGTCTTTCTTTTTAACAAGGACGATGTTTGAAGACCATGGGCTAGTGGATGGTTCAATGACACCTTGATCAGCCATACTCTTTATTTCAGCTTCGGCTTCAGCCATTTTTGATAAGGGCACTCGACGGGGTCTTTGTCGTATGGGATGGACATTTCCAGTATCAATGGTATGTTCTATAATATTGGTGTGACCTATATCTTTGTCAGATTTGGAGAATATATCTTGATATTCTATTAAAAGATTTCTCAGGGAGGCACACTCACTCTCGTGTAATTTTGCAGTACTTCTGGTGTACAAATCTTTCAAATGGGAAGGCAGATCAGGGATTTTTGTTTCAAGTTTGGACATACACACATTGTGGAAATTTTTAGTATTTGGTTTTTCTTGTATGTCACTGTCATTGACTGGTTCACAGGTGGCGGCAATGGTATTTTTGTAAATTTTGCAAGGCTCATCTTGCAAGTTTAGTATTCGCAGTGGTACAATACCTTTACTAGGATTTACTAAAGACCTAGCAATCATAAGACCTTGTTTTTCAACAAAAGTATTGGTTGGCTCCAATAGGGCAGCACATTTGTTGACATGACCAGTGGATCTACCAGGAACTATCATTTCAGTTCCAGGGGGAACAACAACATTTTCTGTCACAGTAATTCTGCAACAGGCAGGTACTTCATTAGAGTATCTGAAGCATGGAATTTTATCGCCTTGCACATCAAGACAACTTTTGCTTAATAGCACATCACATTTGTTGGCGGTCAGAAAATCTATACCAAGGATGACATCATTATTTATGTCAGCCACAAGGACGTCATGGTAAAATTTGTGCTGGTCAATTTGTATTTCAACTCGAGTCTGACCAATGAAAGAGGAAGTGGTTCCAGTTGCAGTAACCAATTTTGTATTGACCGGGGTAATTTTTGTGTGTTTGGAGGGATTTATGGATTTAAAAGATTTTACGCTCAAAATGGTAACACTGGCTCCAGTGTCCACTAATAATGACATAGGGGTATCCTGCACTTTGGCAGCAATGAACAATCCCTCATCCCCGGACATGGTTTCATTTACTAACACTGTTGAGGGCCATTTTGAGGAAGTCGATCTGAGGCCCCCAGATGCGACCTCATTTCGTTTCCCGGATTCTGTTGATTTCTTGTGTCAGGTCTTTGGTTTTGTCCGTTGTTGTTAAAGTATTTGTTATTTGGTTTCCATTTGGATTGAACAGGTCTTTGTTCATTTTGGTTTTGGTAAGGGTTTCCGTATTGGGGTTGTGAGTTGACATTTACTAATTTTCTGATCTCCCTGGTTAGAGATCCTATCTCGTTTTTAACTTCTGAAAAACCTTTTCTAATAAGGTCTAATGAATCACAGTCATTGGTCTTGTTTGGTTTTTCATTGACAAATCTAACTGGTCGGTTTGAACCTCGTTGTCTGTCTGCTAAACGGTGTGTCTCCAGTCTAATGGCTTGGGCCTCTGCCTCGTCAATGTCATTTGGATTGGCTTCTCTGATTCTCAGTCTAATGTCACTGTCAGGAATGGAATCAATAAAATGGTCCCTAGCGAGAATCTTGGTAAGTGAGGATGGTGCTTCAGGGTACGCGAGTCTCGTTAACTTTTTAATAGACTGGGCAAGTTCAGAGATTGATTCATCTTTATTTCTTACTCTAGTTTGGAGTTGAGCACGATAAATCTCGGCTCTGCCATGGGATCCAAAACGTGTTGTAAGGGCTTTGACTAAATGGCTATAGTCACGTCTCTCTGTACTGGACAACTCACTAAGGGTGGCACGGGCATTGCCTTTTAAGGAGCTTGCTAGGTGTAATGATTTTTGATGATAATCCCACCTATTTAATTCACACAAAATTTCAAATTGGGCTAAATATTCATCTAGGTCCTCAGACCCATCAAAACATTGTGGTTTGGTTTGTGGAAATCCCCCAACTTGGTTATGATGGTGTGGTAAGGGCTGTTCAGTGGAAATTTCTGGGTAGGAAATTGGAGAAGGATTCAATGCATTTTGATTGAAAGGTACCTGGGGACTGACAGGAGAAGACTGGGGTTTGGAATTTTCTGATTCAACCTTCTGTTGGATTTCCCCTATTCTTTGTTTCATATTTGAGAGTTGTTCATCAAAATCATTTTTCATTTGATTTACATCTCTGGTAATTTGAAATTGCACCTTAAACATATTTCTGTTGGTTTCATCACACATATTTCTGAATTGCTTGGTCAATTCACATTGCATTTCTTTAAATTCATTTACTAAAGCTTTAGTAATATTTTTGGTAGGGTCAACTGGTAATTGGACACCTTCTCCAGCACCAGCAGAGATGCTGCGGTCAACAGGGGTGATTTCTGGGTCACTATCATTCATGGTAGAATGATTTTCATCACTTGGTTTAAAGAACACTTCATTGGACTCATTGGAAATATCCATTGTAAAATGATTTGGAATAATAAAAATGTTTATAAAAATATTCTTGTGAACTTAGTCTTGTTTGTAAACTGCAAGGTACAGAAAAAAAATTCAATCAATTTTCTAGGATCCCACTTCTGACACCAATGTAACGAAAAAATATATGATTAATATAATATTTATCTGCCGTGCCTTAAATATTTGTAATAGACCCGGTATAAATAACTCTACAGCTTTTCGTTATAATAATACGTGGGCTCTGTACCTTTAGACAGTCAACAAAACAAGAGAAAGTCTGTGTATAAAAGAAACATGTAATAATTTATTGTATAAAAGTACATAAAACAAACGCGATCTTTGGAACCTCCAGGATACTTTGGGAAGGTGTAAAAATGGAAGGTGCACCACTCTGGAAGCGAAGGTGCAACGATATGGAAATGAAGGGGCGGTAGCAGACGTTGCTAATGTAAACAAATATATGTCAGGAGTATATAAGGGAAACTCTGGTAACTGGAGAAGGTGCACACTATTACAATTAAATAGTCACCTTCTGTAATTTGGATGGGTTATTAAATAACACCTTCTGGGCCATTCTAAGGCTCCGTAATCACAATCTATATCCGACAAATGTAAATCCCAAACTGGTACCTTCAACGGGCCTCTCTGTTTATAAACACAGAAGAGTTACGTCATTATCCAATCAGCGAGCGTCTAACAAACAAGGTAGCGCGTGCGAAACTTCAAGCCGAAGTAATCAAATACGGAGGGAAATCGAAGCACATTAGGGCTGTAAACATGGATTATGGATAAAATATCGCTTATGGTGGATGGTAAAACATGAAATAAACACAGGTAAGCACTACTGTGCGTAATGACACATATTTTATGCCACAAGGGTCGAGAACAACATCCCGAACGAATGTAAACAACACAATCAGTCCTTGTGAAACGGCATGTTTCTACTTTCGCTTTCAATCAAAGCTAATAGATTATCAATAAATTGGCATAAACACAAATAATCACTTGAAATATCTTATCTACACTCCGTAGTAATGTGTAAATATCCATGCCAAGGTAAAATAATAATCATAAGTAATAACTATGGTTGGCACAAGGTACAGGCCCACCTAAATTCATAACAATCTCGCATTTCCGAGATACATTTCCAAATTTGTTCCATCTTTGTTATTTCAATTACAAGTTTAAACAAACCTTTCAATGCCTTGAAATTGAACGTCTAAAATCCTCTTAAGTGTTATTTTCTTTTCTCAACTATAGTCCCGCTGGAAACACCAATACTTGTGATGTTATTTCAGTTGAAAATGACGTCCCGAAAGCAATACTTTAAAAAGGCCGATCACCGATCTTTCAGTTGATGGAAGAACTTGATTTGACGTTGATCTTAACGAGATCGCAATACTCATACTTAACATTCTAATCTTTTTTAGATATATATATTTCTACCAACGAAGGTGAGTTTAATCTACCTCACCAATATTGGATTCCCTCAGTTTATAGAAATCTTTACAAAGAAAGCTCTACTAAACTCCTGTCTCTAACCCTAACAAAAATATTAACTGCTGTAATGTAGAAACTTCAGACGACCGTACTGTGCAACAGTATAGTATATAAAAGTGGTATAAATCAAATGTGTATTCTCAGAAATTCAAAGAATTTTTAATAAATTAAATAGTTTTTTTTTCAAAGATATTTAAGTACAGTAGTGGTGCAAATCGGATGTGAATGCTTAAAAATTCCAAGGAACTTTTAGAGAATTTGAAATCATAAGATTTTACCAAAATTAATTATATTAAAACATACGACTTTCCAACTTTATATACACGATAAATTAAAGTCCAGGCTTTTTGATAATATTGTCCGCTGTTTTTTCAATAAAAATGGAACTCGTAAAATTACCCACGTCGTCTTCGGTCATTTACAAAATTATTTTGTTAAAATACATTTTGATTGTACTTACAAGTACTCTGACAGTATATCGACGACGTATTGTCAATTAAAAATGCTTATTTCCATTCTTTTGTCGATACTCTATATTCCGTTGAACTTTAAATAAAAGATACCACAGAGTCTGACAGATTTGTTTCATATTTAGACATTTTACTTGAAAAAGACGTTAATGGTAATCTAATAACCAAGCTTTATGACAAACGAGATGACTTTAATTTTTCAATTGTCAATTTTCCTTACTTATGCAGCAATATACATTCATTGCCTCCATGCGAGGTTTATATTTTTCAGTTGATTCGATAAGCAAGAGCAAGATCTACGTATGAACAATAAATGAGCCTCGTCGGATAGAAATCGACCTTATGGCAAAATTTATCGAATTTGAGATTTTTGTGTTTTTTAATGGTCCATGTAAAACCATTACAAAAACTGAAAACGGAATCAAAATATCTTCATTTATATCAAAGTTATTACATTTTGAAATTGGTATGTTTGCAAAATTAACTCTGAGCATATCGTGGTTTTTTCACGATTCAATTGTGACGTCATGGTTTATTTTCCGTTGTTCGGTAGGGCACCTGTCAACGCGTAGCAATCCAAGCGGTCATCATGTCTAAGTTAAAAGAATTGCTTAATAAATGACAGAAACAAATGATCACGATTTACAATCCCAAAAACTGTGTTAAATGTATTTTAAATCCTTTAAAAAGCGAATACTCACCCCCCCCCCCCCCCCGATCTTTAATTTCTACTTTTCTGTCTTTCGTACCGACAGCTTTGTCTCTATGAATAACTGAACTTCCAATAAACAAAATATAGATTTACACCATGCTGCTTTTACGTTTGATAAGCCTGTATCCTCAAAGTTAGTTAACACGTTAGCAAGTTAGTTAACACACTACTTTTGATTTTACGTAATCACCATGTAAAGGAAAAGGGAACCAATGAGATCGAGTCAAAATTTACAGGGATTCGAATTCGAACTCAGAAATACCTGTGGTTTCTTACAGAAAATACATGAACCATGCAGCCAATAAAGCCAACTTAAATCATGCTACAATAATTATTTTTAAGTTAAATTAAAAAAAAAAAATTACATCCATCTGTATATACATACAGTAGGGATGTCAACGAGTACCCGGTTAACCGGGTACTCGATCGAACGTCCGAGTATCGAATACTAAAATTGGTACTCGGTTACTCGGATGTATATTTTTGAATATTTCTAAGCTAATTCATTAATGCATTAAAACATCGGTTTTAAACAGAAAATGTTCATTGCACTTGTACATACGGTAATTAGGGTTTCCCACACCTCTAAATGACCGTTATCGCCTGTGGCAGTGTTTATACAGTAATTATCGTGACCAAGCACCTGCTACCTGGCTTTTCTCACCTTCGGTAGTCTTCTACCCTTATTTTTGCTTTGCTTTAATGATTTGTTTTCACTGAACATCATTTAAGGTAAATTATAATTAAATAATTTAGATAAATTTGTCATTTCTTCACGAAGCCGTAAACTCTCGGGAAAAGAGACAGATGATAATACACGTGCGATCGTTGATATGGTTGCGTTTGATTGCATGCCAATGCAAATGGTTGAAGGCAAAGGCTTTAAAAAAACTGATGTCCATCATTACACCAAACTACAACATACCGCCCCGTAATAATATAAAGTCTAGGATCGAAAAAGTGTAAGAAGATCGTAAATCCGCTGTTTGAACTTGATCAAGTTGATACTGTAGCTCTGACGATTGAAACTTGGAGGTCAAACGCAACTAAGAGTTACATTACAATTACGATGCAGATTATTTTTCTAAACAAAAACACTGTGAACCATGTGTGATTTGATTTTGTGTGTTTATCTGATGAATAAATTGAACTTTTAAAAAATGTTATATTTAAAAATTTCGTCGGGCAAGAAGTGTTGATAATTGTTACAACAGAAACACATTTACGGGAAACCTCCCATCAAAGCAAGAAGTTTAATTTCTACCATAGTTTACAATATGTTTTACAGTTATCAATTTACTTTTTCATATTTACACTTTTACCGAGTACCCGAGTACTCGATCGGAAAAACGTCCGAGTAACCGAGTATTAAAAATTGACCGATTTGACATCCCTAACATACAGTGTAGTGATTACGTGAAATCAAACATGGCGTGATACTAGCCATGTGTCTAAAAGTAAGGCTTGCTCATTTTATTAGGATTTTCCCCCCTAAAACCGTTTCTACTGCAGCCACATTCACCTTCAAATATCATAGTTCATATATACACCCTCTTTTCCTCCACATCATTCTCGCTTGATTGTAATTGGACGGATACCTCGACAAAAAATTAGCCACTGTGTCTTTACATTATAACCCCCCCCCCCCCCCCCAGTAAAAACCCAATCGTCTTTTCATTAAATGTTTATTATCCATAATGTAGAAAAACAAATAAGTAAATATACATGTACAAATTATTGGTTGATTGAATTTTGCTTAACGCCGAGTCGGCAAGATTTCAGCAATTATCGGCGGAAAATTTTTTATCTGTTGCATGCAAAATACATGTAGTTGATAACCTTAATATAGGGAACTATTTAACGTTCCATCCGACGGACTAAAATTTCAAAAATATGTTAACCGTTAAAAAAGATCTCTCTCTGTGTTCATCAACAAAATATCTCATAATGTACAAAATTTTACCTTAAAATCAATTTGATGTAAATAATCTAATATTCATTGTAAAATAATATAATAATCATGCATCGTTCGTACATTTTTAATTAACTTCGTATATGTGAGATACCCCACCTAATTTTAGAAGAATAAGATTTATAGTTACGTGTAGCGGAAATTCACGGGAAACAATTATTGTATACACATTGGCTGAAATTCTCGACTCAATACGTATATGCATGCATTATTTTTGGAAGACGATTTTTCATTTTTTTTTAATCTTTATAGCATATACGTAGTTTATCATCATCGGATACCAAAGGATGATCTCATCTTTACTCATCACCGGGTGATAAGTAAAGACGAGATCACTCGTGGATTTCCGACGATGATATATAGTTTAATTGTAACGCATTTGAAAAAGA